AATGCAAACTTCCAAAGAATAGCAAGGAGAGACAAGAGGGCCTTCTTAAATGAACAATGCAAAGAAATAGAAGAAAACAATAGAAAGGGAAAAACCAGAGATCTGTTCAAGAAAATTGGAGATATTAAAGGAACATTTTGTGCAAAGACAGACATGATCATGGACAAAAATGGGAGGGAACTTACAGAAGCAGAAGACATCAAGAAGAGGTGGCAAGTATACACAGAGGAATTATACCAGAAGGATCTGGATGTCCCGGACAGCCCAGCTAGTGTGGTTGCTGACCTTGAACCAGACATCCTGGAGAGTGAAGTCAAGTGGGCCTTAGAAAGCATGGCTAACAACACGGCCAGTGGAGGTGATAGCATTCCAGTGGAACTATTTAAAACAGCCACGACCCGGGGGGTGTTGGAGTCTCGAGCTAGACTGCACCTTGCACGGGAGGCTCCGCGAAGCGGTCAGGCGCCGCGCCCGCCACCGAGGACCGACCGCCTTGGGCTCGCTCGGCTCCGGGCCGGCGGCGCTCCTCCGCCTCCCTTCCCGGCTCTGGGCCTCGCGGGCGGAAGAAGGGCCGAGGGAGCGGTGCACCCTGGGACCTGTAGTTCCGGGGGGGAAAGGAAATCTCGCTTCCAGTCGGAGCCGCTAGAGGGCGCGCCGGGAGCGGCGAGGCCGATAGCCTTTTTAAATAAGTAAAAGCGCTTGTGTTTCCTTCGCTTCTCACCTGTAATCGTTGGGGGGGGGGCGCGGGAAGCGAGAGGCTGCCCGTCGCGAGGTGGCCGCCAGGGAGCGCTCCCGGAGCGCGGGACGCGGTGCCCCTGGGCAGGTGCAGAGCGCCGGCTCGGGGGAGAGCCCAGCACTCCCAGAACCCCTCGCCGGCGCCAAGGCCGCCCTCCCCCCCCCTCTTGCTTCCCGCCCGAGAGGGGACCGGAGAGACCCCACACACACACACACACACCCCGGGCGGGCGCCGTCTTCCCGAAAGCCCCCCTCCCCCCCTAAGTGTCTCCCTTCAGGCTTCAAGGGGAGAAAAGGGGGTCGGGGGGAGAGAGAAAGACCTTTCCAAGGAGGGCTTTTTGGGGGGGGGGGAGTACGATGCGTCGGGGGGGCTTTTTGGGAGCCCCTCCCCACCAGAGTACCTCTGGGCCATGTGCAGAGTGTGCCCCCCCTGCTCCCATAGGGCTCCTTCCTTCTTTCCTCTGGCGATTCGGGGGGGGGAGGGGAATTAGGCGGGAAGGCCCCCACTTGGCCTCATTGCGGGGGGGGGTCGACCCTGCACGGACCCCCCTGCTCCCCCTCCCACCCCCTGGGCTCAGGCGGGGCTGCTCTGAGGGGGGGGCTCCTCAGAGGGACTCCAAGCCGTTCCAGGGGGGGTGAGGGAGGACGACACCCCCGCCCACCCCCAGAGCCCAGCTGGGCCTTGATCAAAGGGTCTCTTTCCTCGTGTCTCTTCTTGAGGCTCCTGAGGAGGCCCTTTGGGGCGAAGCTGTCTTCGGGGGGGGGGAGACTCTCCAGGCCCAGCCCTCCGAGCTCCTGCCAACGTGGGGGTGGGGGTCCTGAGCAGCCCCTCTGGGGAGATGGGATCCCTGACACACACACACCCACCCCCCCACCTCTCTAGCCCAATTCACCCCAGGTGGGATGGGGGGGCGGAAGGCCTTCCCGGTTCCAGGGCCCCTCGGCCACCTCAGCTCCCTCTCGGAGCGGTCTGGATAGGTAGGGCCTGGTTTCTGAGGCCAGGAAGGGCTGGGCCCGATCCTTGTCCTTGCAACCAGGGCCTCTGAAGAGGAGACCCCAGGGGGCAAAATCAGGGCTGGGGGGGGCCCGGGGGGCTGCCTCAGTGGAAGGCAGCATCCTCCGTGGGGCCCCCTCTGCGTGAGAGAGGACAGACAAGAAGAAGCGGGGAGAGAGAAAGTGGGGGTGGGAGAGGGACCCCCCCCCACCCCAAGCCCAGTGGGTGAGGCAGGAGTGTGAGGCCATGGAGCTGCCCCCCCCTTAGAGGAACGGGGTGGGGGGGTTTTCTCTCCTGGACCCAGGTCTCTCTCTCTCTCTCTCTCTCTCTCGTTCTCTTATTTCCCAAACAAGGGCCGCCACCGGGGAAGGGAGCCGACCCCATCCTGCTTGAGTTGTCAGGCTAAATATTTTGAGTGTCCTACTTGAAAACAAGCTTTGGCTCCACTCCAGCCTTGGCGTTGAACCCTCCATCCTTCAGCCCCACCAAGTGCACCGGGGGGGGGCGCGATGGAAGGAAGTGTGTGCATGGGCTTGCGCGCCCTGATGGCCCCTCCCCAGTCCTGCCTGCTGCCTGTGCGTGCGCGCGCACACACACACACACACACACAAACACGCCTGGGCCAGGCTGTCTCCATCCTTCCAGCTGCCTCAGTTGCACAGGTGTGGGATTTGTGGAGTGCCAGGGGCCAAGAGGATGGGCCGTGGGGAGATGCCAGCTGGAGGGCCTGGCTGATTTCCCCCCCCNAGACAGACAGACAGACACACACACACAAGTAGCAACAGATTTGACGGCCTGGGGAGAGCAGGATGCCCGCCGCCTTCCATTGGTGGCCACAAGAGCAGGAGGACCGGGGCACTTCTGGCTGAGAGTGAAGACCGTCCGTCCGACCCGACCTTCCCCCCGCCCCCCCGCCAGCCTGCCAAAGATCTAGGCGGTCCTGGGTGCCCTTCTGTGCCGCCTGCCCTTGCCGTGAGGACCCATGGAGTGGAAGGCCCCCCCTGGAGAAGCCCTCTTCATCCTCCTCTGCCTCTTCTGCGTGGGCCCTGGACCCGTGGCTTCGGAAAGTAAGTTCCTTCCCCCTCCGCTTGTGCCGAGATGGGCTGTCCGGAGGATTCTGCCTGGGGTGGGGGCTGCTTTCCGATCTGGCTGTGGCTCTCCTCCCTCCACCCCCCCCACCCCCAACTCCCCAACCCAGGCAAGGGGAAAGGTTTGGGATGTGCAGCTTATAAAGGCTTTGTGTGACCAAAGTTGATTGTAGAAGCGTGTGTGCCTGTGTGTGTGTGTGTGTGTGTGTAAGTTCCTTTAAGGGTCCTATAATTAGTCTCCCCCCCCCCGGCCCTTGTGCTGATGCCCAGAGCTTGAGCTTTTATAAACTTCATAAATTTTCAGCTACTCAAGAGACGGGGCGTGTGTGTGTTAGCAACCTGCGAGTAGAGGGCCAGGGGAGATGCTTGCATGGGGAGGGCGCAGAAAAATCCCTGTGGGGTGGGGGGGGGGGGGAGGGGAGCGAGGGGGCCTCTTGCTTCTTGGGGGGGGTGTTCAGAGTATATCCGAGAGGCCCCGTGAAGTGTCAGGGGGTCCTCGGGGCCCCCCCTCGCACGAAGGGGGCCGCCCGGGTTCCTGCAGCCACTCCAGGCCTGTCCATGGATGGGATGGACCGGCGGCTTCTCCTGCACCCGTGGGCAACCAGTGGGGGCTTTCCTGCAGAGGTCCAGTGGGGGCGGGGGCAGCCGGAGGGGGAGCTGCTCCTTGCCCCTTGCCCCTTCTGGCTGAAATCCTCACGGCTGCCAGCCAAGGAAGCCTGTTTTCCCTCCATCCTGGGGGGTGGGGGGAGAGGTGTTTTCCAGTTCACCGGGAAATCGTGATCTTTTCCAGCTCCGGGCCAAGGCCAAACTCTTCGAGCCACGCACCCGCACCCCCTACGCTCCTTTCCTCCACTTCCTGTTGTGCCCCCACAAGCGAGTCAGGGAACGTGGGCAGCCCCAAAGCGAGCGCCCCCCCCCCGGCGGACAAGGTCCCCTCTGGTCAGGCAGAGGGTTTGGGGTTTGGCCAAGTTGACAGAGTTTGTCTGCGGTGTTTATAGTAAATTGCGCTTTGGACTTACAAATTGCTCTTGAGGTGATACATTGGTGTCCGGTTTCACACACACAAAAAGAGAGAAAGAGAGAGACAAGGGCCAAGGTTGGCTGAGGAGTCTCCACCTCTGCTGTTAGATGTTCCCAGAGAAGCATGCCTCTGGGCATACCTAAAGTGCGTTCCCATCTGCGCTTAGGAAGTTCAGCCCTCTCTGGCCAGGAGGGGCAAGTAAGCAGCCGCATCCCTCCCACGGTTTAGTGGCCGTTTCAATCTGTGGCTGCCAGACTAGCGAAGAACCTTCAAGGGAAAGAGGCTTCCCCCCCCCAGGGGTTTGTGTGTGTGTGTGTGTGTGTGTGTGTGTGACTTAACTGGGAGCGAAATGGGACTGGGGGGGTGTCCTTTGGGGGCCCGATCCCCTCCTGGTGCTGTTGCTACTGGAGCGCCCATCTTGGCGTCCAAGGGGGATGGAAGGGGTGGTGGGGGCTGCTGACCCTCCCCTCCCTCTCCCCCCCCCAACCAAGAGCTGGGCTTTGGCCCGCCCGGGCATCCTTTGGGCCTTTCCTGCACCTTCGAGTCGCCCTCGTTTCTCAGGGGCTGGAAGAGGCAACGGGCCGGGCCAGGGCCCCGTGGAGCAGGGGCCGGCTTTGGCCCCCACCCCAGGGCCTCGTTTGTGACTCCAACAGGCCCCCAGCCCGGTCCCCCCACCCACCCAGGCCCAGCAGCAGGGGAGGGGGGTGACCGTGGCTTCTCTCCTGCCTGTCCGTTTCAGAGGCGTGACCCCGACGGTCCTCCCCAAAGACGGGCTCCTCTTTGTCTTTCTGTGGTGCTTGGCAGACACGGAGTTCTCCAAACATTTTCCGTGGGGCGGCGGCTATTCAGACCCACTGGAACAAGAACAGCGGGGCCTGTTTAAACAGTTGAGCAAACAGGCCCTTTCTCGGAGCGGCAAACTGACCCCCTGGCGCCTCCCTGGCAGAGACGCTCCCGGGCGGGCGGAGGGAAAAGGGGCCCCGGGCGGTCCCTCCCGCGGACACCCCGCAGGCGCCTGGCCTCAGCAGGCTCCCGGACAGAGCCCTGGGGGGGGCAGGTGGGGGGGTTTGCGTGTTTGGGAAGAGGAGCAGGAATGGGCAGGCCCTCCCCTCCTCCTCCTTCTGTGAGGTGGGAGGGGAGCCCTTTGAAGGCAGCAGCCACCAATACAGCCCCCCCCCCATCCTGCCCCAGACTCTGGAGCTGTGGGTTGGGGGACGAGGGAAGACACCCCCCCCCGTGGAGACATTGCCTTTGCAGGGTTTAGGATGACTTGGGAGTCCGCCCCTCCCTCCCCATGTGGGGCAGTGGGCAGAGTTTGTGGTGAAGAAGGACCCCCCCTTTCTTTTTTTTCCAAAACATGAAAGTGAAGGGGCCCAACCCCTGTGGAAGCCGCTGCCGGCCACTGGCTGTGCCTGTGGACACCACTTCAGTAAATGTCAGCCTGGCAAGACAAGCAGCAGGCAGGCATTGGGGGGGGGGGAGAAAGAGAGACGGCTGTCAGACCAAGCCCCCCCCGGAACCTGAGAGGGGACAGGAAGGGGCGGGACTGCGCTGGTTAGGCTTTTGCCCCCCCCCCGGGGGGGGACTAGGATGCCAGCAAGCAGATCAGCCTTGTGGCAGGGGGGGGAGGCATAGGCATCCTTTTTCTTGACTCTCCCCCCTCCCCCCCCACACAGAGATGCCCTCCCACACGCCTGCAGCCCAAACAGGCCAGAACCTGGGAAGGAACCCCCAGGATCCCCCCCCCAGCCAGCATGGGGAGCGGTCCTGCTTCCCAGGGGATTTTGGGTATTGTGGTTGAAAACGCAGGCTTGCCTGGTAAGGCTTGTGAAACCGTCGAGGTGGGCCAAGGCTTGGGGGTGCTTTTGGGGGGGGGAGGTCATCCCCTTAAGGCTAGGCTGCTGCTGCTGCTGCTGCTGCTGCTCCCTCAGGTTCCTCCCGGGCTCTTCCAGGGCTGTTCTTGCACTGGCGGGGTCTCCTCTGTTTGATGGCCTTCCTCTTCTTCTCTCCTCTCTCTCTCTCTCTCTCTGCCCCCCGCCCGCCCACCTCCGGTTCCTCCCCAGTCTGCGGGAGCATGGACCTCCGGGTGGACGTCTCCCAGCTGCGGCGGCTGGAGAACTGCAGCGTGGTGGAGGGCAGCCTGCAGATCCTGCTGATGTTCACCAGCCGGAGCGAGGACTTCCGCCCGCTCAGCTTCCCCCGCCTGGTCCTGATCACGGAGTACCTGCTGCTCTTCCGGGTCTACGGGCTGGAGAGCCTGCGGGACCTCTTCCCCAACCTCTCCGTCATCCGGGGCAGCAGCCTCTTCTTCAACTACGCCCTGGTCATCTTCGAGATGCCCCACCTGCGGGACATCGGCCTCTCCAGCCTGACCCACCTCCTGAACGGCTCGGTGCGGGTGGAGCGCAACCAGGAGCTCTGCCACATCTCCACCATCGACTGGGGGCTGCTGCAGCCCCCCCACTCCCTCGAGCACAACATCTTCCTCCACAACAAGCCCGCGGAGGAGTGCGCCGACGTCTGCCCGGGCATCCTGGACGTGGAGAAGCCCTGCGTCCAGACCCTGAACGCCCTCAGTGGGCAGCTGGAGTACCGTTGCTGGACCTCCAGCAGCTGCCAGAGAGGTGAGCCGTTGGCAAAGGTGGGAAGGGCCCCCCCCGGGAGGGAGGTGTGTGTGTGTGTGTGTGTGTGTTGGGGGAAGAACCACCCACCTGCCTTTGCCGGTTCTCCCCCCCCCATTGCCCCCCCCCCGCATCCAGGGTCAGGTTTCAGGGTCTCCCTCCCCCCAGCCTACCCGTTGGGCCTCCCTGTCTCTCCTGAGCAGCTGCCGGGGTTGGGCTCCACAGCCTGGCTGTTTGCCTGGAGAAGCTTAGCCAGTGCAGCCGGCGCGATCCGGCCCAGGTGTTTCTCAGCAGGTCTCCTCAGTGTAAGAACCCAGTGAACCTCGTGTGGCTGGGTCTGGGGTTTCGGCCGAGGCGGGATTGTGCCGCAATGATACAAGTGGAGGCTGGCGGCTCTTCCCCCTCCTGAGCAGCCTGGGGGCTCAGGTGGGAGAGAGACCGCCCAGGCTGGGCTGCCCCCCCCCCGGGCCTTGCGCTCCTTAGGAGGCAGGGGCCGAGGCTGGCAGGAGCGCCCG